GGATCTATCGTCGATTTTCGTTGACTGGAATGAAATTTCGTAGATGATTATGCCTGTTTGTTGGATTTATTAATTAGAAGAGAAGGAAGAAGGAAGAGGACACGAAAGAAAATAGCGAGAAAATCGAAACCAGTTGGATTATTATTGCAGAAATGGCTAGTCGATCGGACTTTCTATCGGTCGAAAGAAGAGAGTGTCGGCAAAAGTGAACAAATATCACCACGATCTAAATTATAAAGATCTAGTTTTGTTAACGGTTCGAGTGTCGTCGATTACGTGAAAGATAGTCGAGTGATAATTACCCAGAGTGACGGATCGTAACCATAAGAGTGCTTAGCGCAAAGATAACGGCCTTGAAACTTTTCCACGCGCGGATCGGAAGACCCGAGCTAGGCGAGATGCTCTATGCCCGACAGCGTGACTACAGCTAAAAGGTCGTGATCGATCGACTTACTTCGATGGCCTAAAAGAACTTTGCAAGGTCATTATGCATAGCGATAAAACGGGGACGTTGTAAAGTGCGGACAAGTCGGTCGGTTCGTTCGACTGTTACAATCGACACAGGCCATTTCATTCGAAATAAACACACTCGACGAGTCATCTGTTATATTTCATAGCGTCCGATATCAAGAAAATCAGTAACGTCTCGATAGAAGAACGCGGTGTGGCCTCGTTGGAACAAGTCAGATGAGGGTCCACGCGATGTCGTGCGAAGGATACGTAACCTTAGATCGAGAAGATACCGACATTCGCGAGATGTGCCACGCACATCGCTCGAGCTCGTTCGAGTTCTCGCAGAGTTTCCACGAGACTTCGCAGACACCGTCGTGTTTGACGAAGCGACGATAACGGAGGATCGCTCCGTCAGGATCCAGCCGTATATCTATTCGTGTCGTCTACGATGATCGTTGGATCGTCCATCGATGAAAGCTGAACGTGACTACGCAACAGAACGCCGGACTAACAGAATCAACGAAATCAGTTGTACATTCTCGTTTCCACATGGTCCTAAATGTCGACCTAAGCAGCCTAGAACCTCAGGTGGATCAACAAAGGGTGATCCTCAATACTCGCTGTAACTAACAGTTTCTAGACCGGTGGCAAGCCGAGCGTTGGCCAAATGAGATCACCGAAGTGAACGGGCCGATCGAACGATCCAGAAAGCTGCTACTTGTGGCCGATGCGAGTGGATGCTCGACGATCGACCAAAGCCCGAGCAAGTGAACAGACAAAAGCGGCCCCGGCCGGCACTCGATGAATCCTAGTGAAGATAAGGATTGTCGAGTACTCTCGATCGTTTGCCTGGAACGCCTGAAGAAGCTCCGGTTGGCAGCTATCTGAGAGCTCTGAGGTCGGGTGATGCGCGGGAGCAGCTCTGAGCTCCTGCTGGAGGCGAGCTGCGTCCAGTGTCAGAGCGATCATCACGCCGGCCAGCACACCGCCAGGCATCATCAGCAGCATCAGCTCGGCGAGAAACACGACTTCCAGGAGCGAGAGCTACGTCATCGCAAACTGTTGGAGCTCGGGTTCGGCGCTTCGCGGCGCCGACCGCCACGGCGTACCTGCCGTCAGCGGTTCAACTTCTACGCCACATCGGCGTTGGCATTCGTCGCGACGTCCGGCGGCGCGGCCCTCCTCTTCCTGGTGCCGCTGTACGTCGATCCGGCCATCAGCACCCTGGCCGCCGATTTCTCGCCGGACCCAGTCATCTGCACCACCTCCAGGCGTGAGGAACTCGCCGGCCTGTTCAACTGCACCTGGAGCTCCTGCCGCGAGGGATGCACCAGCGACGTCTACAGGTGTACGCATATATACGTCACGTACACGCCATGGAGCAACGCGAGCATGAAGAACGACACCGGGGGTAGAGGCGGTTCGGCAAACTCGAGCGGCGCCGCGCACACCTCGACCACTTCTGGTAAGAAACTTTTGTACTGCGGGCTTCTACGGATTGATAAAATTGGAGTATTGGAGCGTCTATCTGTTTGCTGCTGGATTTCCGCAGTTTTGCATCGTTTTTTTGAAGATGGAACAGTGTTTTGAGTATGAGCTGTATGCGCGTTTATTCTATTTAATTGTGCAAATATGGTTTTCTGTGGTATTTTTTATTTTTTTTATTTTTTTTTTTTGGGGAGAAATTATAGTGTCGAGCAGGATGTTTGGATGATGGAAATTTGAATTATTAAATTATTCCATAGTGAATGATTAAAATTGTGCAGAGAGGTTGGAATATCTGGTGTAACTGTGTCGGAGGAAAGATGAAAGTTTATAAAAATTTTTGTGTGCTTTTTAAGAAATTATTCTTTTCTATGCTCACAATGTACAGTGACTACGAAATATCATTTCACGCTGTTTCTTTGTTTAAGTGCAGATATATGGAAATGAAATTCATAGCCTGATGAAAAAATGTTTCATTATTAACTACTTTTGTAGCCACTGTACTTGGCTGGAATTAACAACAATAAAATACATTAGATGAAATTTCAAAATATTCCGTATATTTGAATCAGAAAGTTTGATTCTCGATGAAGGCACGGCGCAATCTGATTAAAAACCTAAATTTCTTTTTTCCACGGGTGGTATTACGCAATGACGATATAATCTCTCCATCAAAGTTACTGTCGCGGCTTTAAATATTATTAAATTCTTCTTCATGTTTTCGAGCAGATACGTTTCGTGTAAAACGTTTCTTTATATCAAGACGCATAAAAATTCTCCGAAGTTTAGAATTGTTGGTTACACATTGTTCGAGTGAATTTTTGCAGTAGGAAAGATAGTTTGTACTCCATAAAATCGAGAACATGATATTTAATTCGTAATTTTAGATGTCTAATTTCCAAGTTATACAATATTACATTCATCGTGGAATATATTCGATTCATCAGCGTGAAATTCTTTTTCCTCGTTATAAAATTAGGTTTATTTTTTCATTCGAATTAATTCTACTCCCTGCAAATTTTTTAAATTTAATTAAACGTGAATATGATTAGTGTTTAATTAAAAAAAAAAAAAAAGAAATACATACTTTACTTCTATAAGTTTATTTATAGTAGAAAGTGTCATAGTGTTAAAAATTTACTATATGTCTATCTGCTAAATTTTAACATCTCTTTCTATCCTTGTGTAAAATTGATCAATATGGTTTCCGTACAACTCTAGTATTTAACAGAAATTCTAGTCTTCTTACTATCATTTGGTTGTTTATCTTTGTGTATCGTTACTAAAGTATCGCTTTTGCTTTCATTCTTTATTATAATCGTACGAGGACATAAGAACGTATGAGACGTATAAAATTTACATCACGAAAATCCATAGTCGCTCTATTTGGTGCTCGTGCTTATCGTTGATTTTGCAAGTTTGCACCTCTTTAACTCGACCGCGTTACAAGATCGATATTATCTATGTTGTTTCGCTGAGTTAACGGAATACTTATTGTTGTTGAAGATTATTGTCTACGAAGATATAGGATTTTCCCGCTACTTTCTAATTCGTCTACTCGCGTTATATGTGTCGCCACCAGATTTGAAGTTTTCTCTTGAATGTTTCACAAGCTAAATCAGCGTATTACGTTAAGGTTGTGGAATTTACTTTAGGTTATGGAGTTTATTTTTCGTAAATTTCCAGAAAGTTTGTTTATTCACTGGAAAATTCTCAAACAGTTTTCAAAAAATCTTTAGCAGTTATTCATTAGTCTTTCTACCAGAAACTTTATTACCAGAACGTAAGGCGTAATAACTAAAGATGCGTAAGAATTTTAGAAAGCACTGGAAAGTTTTCAAAGTAATATTTTGAATTATATTTATACATCTAAATCTATGTTTTCAATGAGAAAATTCCAATGTTCAACGTTTCGTTAAAAAAATTCCATTTTCAAAAATCGAAATATCACTGACTGTGATGGCTCGGAAAAAATATAGAAGATTTAGAAAAATTCGGAGAATTATGTTTATAATTACAACGACATGTGTGCAACACATCGATAGTTGAATGAAACTAGTAATTAAATTTTGTTGAACTTCAGTTTTAAAATTGCGCGAGTAGCATAATTCAATAATCAAACAGTTCCAACATACATTTCAGTTTATTCCTTGTCCTTGTTAAATACGCACGGTTCTGTTTTCAAAAGAATATCTCTTTGCATTATCTTTTTTCGTCACTGTGTAGCTATCATTCCGAATGAATCAAATACGAAAATAGGAGATAAGAGATCAGAGTAG